CTTTTCCCTCTTCCTCCTACCCTACAGAGTACCAATTTCCGTTAATAACTTTAATACTTTTTTGTTATAAGCCACAAAGCAAAAGGCCTGTGCTTCATCACCATCTTAATCTCTGATCACTTCAGATTCACTGATGGCTAGCTAGTCTGTGTGTGTGTGGGCGGGGGGGACCCAGGCCACCATAGCTGGCAAGTGAGATCACCATGGCAGAATAATTGTTCACAGTTATTCACATAATAGTTGTTTACAATTATTTCTTCCCATCTGGGGGAGGATTCCACATCTCTACCCTGTTGAATTCAGGAATTGCCATGTAACCAGCTTTTGACCATTAGATGAGTGGAAGTGATATGTGTCAGTTCTGACCACAGTCTTAAAAGCAGCTCATAGTTAGCTGTGTCTTTCTTCTTCTGTGCCATGAGATGGGCAGTGTTGTGGGCACAGGCTGCTCCTGTAGCCTGGTTCCTAAAGGAAAGATAACAGAGCAGAACCACAGCTGACCCGGAGTGGACAATGAGAAATAGACATTTGTTGTTATAAGTCACCGCAATTTCAGTATTGTTTGTTCCTATAACATAGGGGCGACGCCCTGGGCTCAACCCATTCTAGGTTAGAGCCTTACCCTTTTTTCTCATAAACAGGAGCCAAGAGGGGCACTTTCCTAAATTAGAAATGAAGTGGTGGAGAAGGTAAGAGAGGCCAAGAAATAACTGAAGTTAGAGAACAGACTGTGCAGCTGTTGGTCCCTTGCCCTTGATGAAACACAACTTGTTAGGCTCATCTGTCTCGGGCCTCTTCTAGAGTTTAAGGATGTCATTGTCCCCTCCCCTGCAGCAGGTCTTGGCGCAGGTCTGTCCTGTCTCCTCTTACACTGCATTGGGCCACTACCGTTGACTCTTCGTAGCTATCCTTGTAGCTGCCATTGACCAAACTCTGCCGCACCTTCTTCGTTTATGGCTCCTGTCACCTCAGGAAATAGTTGTCGAGTGGGAGAGTGGCTCTTCTTGCAGAGTTTGTCACTGATATTTATTTGTTTTTTAGGCAAAGTACACCGAGAATTTAGTAAAAATAAAACAAAGAGAAGATTTATATAAGTGAGCACAATTCAGAGCTAACGAAGGGGAAAGGCAAAGACGAGGGTGGAGAGTTGCCCGGGTTTTGTCTCAACCATATCAATGGGACAAAATACATCCACTAGCAGTGTTAACAGTGAAAATAAAAGAGGACACCCAGGCATCATTTTCTTAATGAAAATAATGAGGGTTACATCGAGCTAACTTGCAGATTCTTCCCTTAACCATGTATCTTCATCTGATTTCCTGAACTAATTACATGAAAAAGAAATAATGTGAATGAAATCGGCTGAAATAGGTCAATAATATTAATGTGGTTTGCAGTTATTGAGCACTGATTTGTGCCGGACACAGTCTAAAATGCTTGATACAAAGTAACTCATTTTTTTAAAAGATTTTTATTGGGGAATTGGGGGGATGGGAACCGTGCTGGGGAATTGGGGGAAGGGGAACAGACAAGTTGCTGTCCTTTTGTTCTTCAGTCTAGTTGTGGAGGACGTTGCTTCACTGTCCCAAGTTGGCACCATCATTGCGCTCTTCCTGGGCGAGGCACATCAGTCGCCGGCTTCTGGACAGCCGCTCACTGTGGCTACTGGCTGCTCACGCTGGCTACTGGCTACACACGGTAGCCCATGGCAACCCACTGCAGCAGAGGCTGCAGCCTATGCCGTTGCCGGCAACTCACAGCAGCCTAGCTCCAGGTTGAGCTGTTGTTCAGCATCTTAGCTGTAGAGGGCAGCATCACTGGCCCTCCTATGTGGGATCTGAACCGGGGCCCTCTGGCGTCCCAAGCCAGTTCTTAACCATTGTGCCACTCGGCCGGCCCCAAAGTAACTCATTTAATCCTCACAAACCCATGAGGACTAGGTGCTGTTCTAATCCCCATTGAGAGATGGAGACACTAAAGTCATTTGGTCAAAGTCACAGCTGGATTGTGGTAGAACTTTGAACACAGGCAGTCTACTTCCAGAGCCTGTGCTTCTCAGCCCAAAACACTGAAGGTTATGTGTGGGGACAGATACAATTAAATTATATTTTTAAAAGATTGGAAAGCAGCATATTGGCTAAAAGGACATATCTGAAGCCATAGGTTTAGCCTGGACAAAGACACCGACCTTCCTCCTGTTGTCTGTAACTTGCCCGTTTGTGGCTAGCTTGTAAAATTGCATCAGGTATGGAGGCCTTTCATTCTCCCTCCATTTAAATAGCTGAAGTAAGCAGAACACCCTAGTGCTCTAAAGCGATGGACCTGTTGGGTGGTCCACAAAAATCAGTGGGTGAGAAGGCAGGTGATGCAGCACAATCTACCTCTAACTAGGGAAATAACTCAAAGACAAAACCATTGGGCATCCTTATAAGAAGGGACAGTGCACCGGAGATCACAGCGAATCTCTCAGTCTATTTCAGTTTGTATGAATCACATCAAAATGAAACTTCCCGCATCTTCTTCCAACACAACGCATTATTTTTTACAAACTTAAAGAGAGAAGCAAGACTTAGTCATCCCGGGCTGCTCTAACAAAATACCATAGACTGGGCGGCTTAAACAACAGAAACATATTGCTCAGTTCTAGAGGCTGGAAGTCTGACATCAGGGCACCAGCGTGGTTGGGTTCTGGGAAGAGCCCTCTTCCGGGTTGCAGGCGGCTGACTTCTTGTTGCATCCTCGCATGGCAGATGGAGAGCAAAAGCTGGCTGGCTCTCTGATCTGTTCTGATAAGGGCACTAATCCCATTCATGAGGGCTCCGCCTTCATGACCTAATCACTTCCCAAAGGCCCCACCTTCTAATACCATCACATTGGTCATTAGGATTCAACATATGAATTTTGGGGAGACATAACCATTCAGTCCATAACTGGAAGTATTCTTTTTTGCTGAGTGCAGTAGCACCCCAATTTCACATGGCTTCCATATGCAGATTTGAATATGGGGGTTTCCAAAACACCAAACTGCTTCTCTGTAGTTTGGAACAAGGGGTTCAGACAGTCCAGCTCTGGTTGGGAATGAACTAATCCACTTCAACAGTTAAGTCCAAACTAAAGGATCACAGAGGTGACTTTCAGTTAACAGGACAGTGACATTTCATAATCCAAACCACACTTGGCTCTTTGTGCAAGCGGTCACTGCTGTGTCATCGGAAGGCTGTTTGTCTCAGGGGACTCTCGGTTGATGGTTACACCAGGAAGGGGCCGAGTCCTTTCTGTGGATGTCCTGATGGTTTCCTGTCCTGGGGTTAGTCAACGGGCCTCAGAACAGATAAAGATGCTTATGTTATACATTGTTGGTGCATAGTGGTTTTTTTTAAAAGAACTCCAGCAGTCCACTGTTGGAATAAGACTTGTATTCACTCAACCATGCCTAGACTTCAGTTCTAGTTGACTTTAAAATCATTGATTTATAGTTGTTGGCTGTAGGACTATGTCAATACACTGAGTGCTGTTGCCCCTGAGAGCAGTACCTGTTGAGTTTTAGATGTTTTTAAAGAGGGCATAGATTAATTAAAGGAGAGTCGAATATTTAATTCCTTTGGTGGGACCATTTGAAATGATGTCAATGTTTTGGTTTTTTTTTAACCCAATAACCTTGGCAGTGTCATTTTGAAAGTACCTAACAGAGTTTTTTCATGAGCCATCTTATAAATAATTTGACACCCTTTTGAGTAATACTTTTTTTTTAAAGCTGGCAAGGCTCTGATTGTTATCATGTATTTTATTAGATATATATTTTTTTGCATATTTTCAGGAAAAATCAACAGAGGCTTTATCTCTGTGGGATATCTTTCCCTATCTTATCCATTTCATTTCTAGGTACAGAGTTTATTAGGACTGGCTTTCAAAAATATAGCTTTATTGAGGTATAATTTACTTACCATACAATTCATCTATTTAAAGTATACAATTTAGTGGTTTTAGTATATTCACAGAGTTGTGCATCATCCCTACAATTAATTTCAGAACACTTTCACCCAAAGAAAGGGGGAAAAAACTGCTAGCCATCACTTTCTCCCCATTTCCTCCCACTCCACCCCGACCTCCAGCCCTAGGCAACCACCAATCAACTTTCTATCTCTATTGTTTTGCCTATTCTGAACGTTACATATAAATGGAATCGTATAATATTTGGCCCTTTGTGACTGGCTTTTTTTACTTAGCATAGTGTGTTCAAGCTTCATCCATGCTGTAGTACGCATCAGTACCTCATCCCTTTTCATTGCTGAATAATATTTTATTGTTTGCGTAGACCACATTTTGTTTATCCATCAGCTAATGGACATTTGGGTTATTTCTTCTTTGCGGGTATTATGAATAATGCTGCTATGAACATTGTGTACACGTTTTGTGTGTGAGGTTGTGGCTTTTTAGTGGCTCAGCTGCCCTTTTAAATACCAGTGGTATCATGGCTAAATAGAACCCCCCGATGTCCTCTTGCTCAGCACCTCCTTTTTAGGCACATGAAGTATCTGGATTATAGACGAGGCAGCTGAGACCCAGATAGGGTAGGCAACTTCCCTGGGCAGACAGAGCTAGCTAGAGTGGTGGAGTGGGACCCCGCTCCCAAGTTCAATGCTTTACCAATTGGTGTGGAAACCTGCAGGCAGAAGAAGACCTAAGGCCCGCAGTGCACAGATCCATAAAAGTCTTGCAGGCTTTTTCTGTTTGCACTTTCTTCTGTTTGTCCCTTCCCACAGTGTGATCCCATCTGAAAGCAAAAGAACAAGTACTGCAAAGTTAAAAGGTTCCTTTGAGATTTCCTTAGCGATGTCACTTTTTGCCTAAGATCACACTGTTGATGACAGAGCAAGGACTGGAACTCTGGTCTTTACATTCCTTGTCCCCACCCTTGTTGTGCCCTGAGGGCAAGCATTCATGACCCTGGAGCTGGGTGAAGGGTGCTGTTAAGTCATTTTGTGTCTCTTCTCTAATAGAATCCCGTCACAGGGCTGCTATCCGCCAGCCATGAACAGAAGGATGCCTGGGTGCGGGATAACATCTACAGCATCCTGGCCGTGTGGGGCCTGGGCATGGCCTACCGCAAGAATGCCGACCGTGATGAGGACAAGGCCAAGGCCTACGAATTGGAGCAGGTAATGCTGACTTGTATCCGTTTCTTGGCCACTCTGCACCTTTTCCTTGAATCGAAGAGCCTACAAGGAAGTAGCTGTGTGTGCAGAACAGTTTGGTGCAGCTGTTGCCCCCATTTCTGCTATAGAATATTTTGGAGAGGCACTTTGGTGGTTTCAATCTCTCATTTGCCTTTCTCTAAGATTTTTCCCTCCAAAAAATAAAAAAATTAAAAAAAAACACCAAATAGGAAAATAAAGCATCCAAATTTCTAATTAGCTACATTTCTCTCACACATTTTGTCAATTTTATACATACTCATATGTGAAGTTATATAAACTATTATGATTGTTTTTCAAAAGTCAGTACACATTCCAAAGTGTGTGCTCCTTTCAGAGTACTCACGTTGAAAGGATACTTATCCAAACAGCATTGCCAGTGCTTAAAACATTTTTGGAATTTCCCTTCAAAATGCCTTTCTAGTTTGAGCCATTCCAAAGCAGTTTTATTAATTTATAATCGCCCTCTAATTTTGAACCAGATTGATTTTTGTCCAGTTTTCATGCCTATTACCCTACAGCACAATGAAGTCCTTTGACTGGTTTCCAAAATCAGAAATCAAGATACCCACCGAAGGAAAGATTTGCAGTCATTGAGTATATAACAAAATAACCCGTCCCTGAGCACAGGGGGTATTTTCAGAATGTTTTGAGTGATAGCGTTAAATAAGGAGCATTGACACATAAAAGTATAGTTCTCTTGGCACGAGAGCCTCTGGGATTTATCTTTGATTCGTATATTCCACAGCCAGTGGACCATCCGGTCCAGGGAGAGTTCTTATGGCCCAGCCGGTGCTTGTTTACAGCAACCAAAGTGGGCATGAGTGACAGGCAGCCTTGACAGCAGTAGTGGGGCTAAGAGAGGAGGCCTCTCTGTGGGAGCAAGGCCAGGACAGTTTGGATTTGACTAACATGCTGAGTGTTGAGGTGTGAAATCACCCAGTCTTGTAGGTAAGGCAAGAATGGGTAGTTTTTTAAATGCCTACAACAAGCATTGACTGCTCTTTCAAGAAGTTGGATGGCTATTAAGGAAGTGAATCATTCATTTAGTAGTATAAAAATTTGATGTCTGTGTCCTCCAAACTTCCCATCCTTCTTTGGGACAAAATCAGAGTAAAGCCATGTCTGTCTGCATGTGCGTGTACTCGCACGGCGCGCGCGCGCGCGCACACACCCACACACACACCCACAACTTACCTCTACCTCTCCTCTGTGAGCAATTTCTGATCCAGGTTAGAGTTGACTAGATTTGCTGCTCCGTGACTGACAATTGCAAGGCACAAACAGGCCACATTGTTTGATTTGTTGAATGTGGCTCATAACTAAAGGACACATCTCCCTTGATTATGGAAAATGACTCAAGATCTTTCCGTGTTCTTCAGCAGGGATGCTAGTGCATTTAGGGCTTAGGCAGTAAGTCCAGCTATTCACGGTGTGAGACTGTCCCACGCATTGCCAAACAAGTAGGGTCCTTGGTCCTCACTAAATGCCAGTAGCCCCCACCCCCATCATAGTGACAATTAAGATGCCTTCACTGCCACATTTCCAGGTGCTCCCCCACTCCTGGGGGATGGTAATGTCACCCCGAGTTGGGAACCACTCTGCTTCTTCATAATGGAACAATAACTTTTCTTTATTTGAAGGGAAGTCAAATTGGCAAATGTTTGTGCTATACACTGTAGGAAATGTTAACTATAACAATGTTAATTATACCTTATAGTTATGAAGTAATGTTTTCTGCCTCTTTTAAGTGAGTAAACCAAGATTATATTCTAGAATCCTAGGATTTTCGAGGCAGAAGATCTGAAGGACAATCCATTGCAGGGTTTTTTTCTGGCCGTCAGCTTTCAGAGCCCTTCACTACACCTTCCCCTGCAAACCGCATACATCCTGTAAGAGGAGATGCTCATGGCCCTGGCAGGGAGCTTCTTTCAGCCAGGCTGCTTTGACTGACAAAATATCCCATTTTCCAGCCATTTGTGAAGTAGTTTTATAGTGATATGTTTAAAAAAAAAAGAAATTTTATTGGAGAACAGTGTGTTTTCCAGGTCCCATCAGCTCCAAGTCAAGTCATTGTCTTCAATCTAGTTGTGGAGGGCGCAGCTCCTTGGCCCATGTGGGAATCGAACTGGCAACCTTGGTGTTATGAGCCCTGCGCTCTAACCACCTGAGCTAACCGGCCACACCAGTTTTATAGTGTTTTTAATAGGACATATTAAGACCAGTTTTTCAGTGGGCTAGAATTGTGGAGGAAATAGGAGGCCACATAACATATTGACTAAGAGCTCAAATTCTGGAGTCAGACGGCCTGGGCTCTGTCCCAGTTCCACCTGCTGCCAGCTGGGAAACTTTAGCAATGTTGCTTCATCTCGCTCAGCCTCTGGTTCCTCATCTATAAAGCAGGGTAATAATAACACCCACCTCTTAAAGTTGTTGTAGGAATTAGAGAGAATCCAGGTAAAGCATTTTGTACAATGCTTGGGCATAGTGTCTGATTATCATAGTATTATTGTTATTATTTATAATGATAATAAGTAGAATAATGGGTTGCAATACATATTCTTAAGAAACCTTGGTGGCTACTTGCATTTTGTAAGAACTTTTACTCAATAGTCCAGTCATGGAGTCACAGATTGCTATTTTGGCACAAAGCGGCATTACTTTGGGGCAGCCTGGTGGACTTAAATCATCCTTAGCAGAACAAAAATAAATTACTAAGAATCATGACATAAAGCCCCAGGGAACTAGGCTTATGCAGTTGTCTCGCTGAAATATCAGGACTCACTGGATTTCAGAGCCAAGAGGTGCCATTTGGTCTAGCCCTTTTATGTGAGATAAGTCTGTACGTCAAGATTTTATTTGTGATGGAGTGGAGAGGTGGAACTAGCTAACCAATCAGATTACTCCTGTATGCTTGGGATCTGCTTCTCAGGGAATCCTTCAGGCAGCGCTGGCTTACCAGCCATGGGGTGAGGTTTTCATGGAGCAGGGAAGCTTGGCTTGTCACTGACCCTATTTTATTTTTGCAGAATGTGGTGAAACTCATGCGGGGTCTTCTCCAGTGCATGATGAGACAGGTAGGCGGACAACGACAAATACGTGTGGGGGTCACCTGAGTGGGCATGTCATCATTTTCATGGTGACACCTAACATTCTTAAAGCATTTTGAACTTTTCTTCTCAAGATGAAGAGAAATTGAAAATATTTTGCTTACTTTCCCCTTTTAAAATTATCTTCGACACTTTTGTTACAATATAGACCCGCAGACTCAAAGGACACTTTCTCAGAGTCTCTTTTAAAGAGTCACTTGTGTAAAAGGAGAACATGCCCTTTTTTAAAAAAACGAGGAAGAGAACACTGTTTTTAAAAACCACTCCTAGAAAGCCATGTACTGTTATTTATTCTGTTGAGTTTATAAAAGGGTTTATTTTCATTTGAGTGGAAAGCTTGAGTTCTAAAACTTGACATTACTATTTACCAATATTTTCAGTGAGCAGTAAATAAAACAATTTACAATGTAGCACATACTATATACAGAACATCATACTAGAATCTGCAATAGATGCAAAGATGACTACAATACCATCCCCACCCTTAATTAGCATGTGCCCGGCTGGTCTTCAAAGACACAGTTACTCTTCTCCTGTCAACATAACAGGTCCTCTTCCTTCCCTCCCTCACTGAATGCCTACCATGTGTCACAGCTCATGCTGGGGATACACAGACAACGAAACCTCTTGGCTTGACCCCTCGCCCTGTCAGAGATTGTTAAAATCCCACTGGGCTGGGACATTCCTGGAGATGGCAGGAATAATCCCCCACACAACCCCTCTGTGTGGTGCTCACCAGTGAATACCCGCTGCCTTCCATCCCTCTGGCTCCCAGAGGTCACAGATAAGAGGTCAGCATCCAGGAGATTGACCCTGGGTGTGGCCTCTGCCAGCCATGAACCCCTTAGCTATGTAGAGCGGGCTTGCCTTCTCCCTCAGGTGGATAAAGTGGAGAAGTTCAAGCATACGCAGAGTACCAAGGACAGCCTGCATGCCAAGTACAACACCGCTACCTGCAGCACCGTGGTGGGCGACGACCAGTGGGGGCACCTCCAAGTGGATGCCACCTCCCTCTTCCTTCTGTTCCTGGCCCAGATGACTGCCTCTGGTGAGCCCGGGCCATTTGAGCCCATGGTACAGGGAGTGACCATCCAGAAGGGGGCAGAGAGGAGCAGACATTGATCAGTATTCAAAATAAGTTATTTCTGGGAAGAGCAATCACGCTTCTTTATAATATGTGCGCTGACTCTGTGACATGCCACCAGCCTGCTGAGCACTTGCAGGATGAGGGCTGTTGAGCCAGTTCTATTAGCATCACTTTAGTTGATCCTAAAACTTCCTTTCTGTCACTGTCACCTGGTTACTGGACCAACCTAGATCAGATGTACCTTCAACAGTTGAAACATCTGCAGACAGTGTCATGCTGCCTCTGAAAGTTTTTTCCCCAAGACTTTATCAGTCTTGATAAACCATGATTAATTTAACTGTTCCTTTATTCCTTTTTTTTGGCTGCTATAACAATGTTTCAATACCAACTTTCACCCTATATCTATTTGCTTCCTTCTGTTAGATATCATTCAAAGGCTACTCATACATAGTACCAGTTGTTTTTAGAACATTTGACTAGTTAAAAGTCCCTACAGTGATGTAAGAGTACATATCTTACGATACCCATACCAGCTTCAAGAATTTATACTTTAAAAATGCATGCATTGCCATAACCAACTAAACACTCAAGGACCCAAACAAAAAATCCAGCTCTCTTGGTCACCGCCTGCTTTAGCAAGTAGATGCAGCCCCCTGGGCAGGTCCTGGGAGTTGGTCTTTCCAGGGGGTGAAGGCTGCCTCCTGAAGTTGGGGGCTTTACTTTCCCTATCTGCCCTTGGAGGAAAGTATCCACCCTTTGGCTCACTCAAAGATAAAGACAGTGTCTGGCTTCTGGGCTAAAATCCTTGCTTTGTTGGACCCTTCTCTGCAAATCCAACATGTACCATAAGACCCCACACCTTCTTCTCTTTCAATCATCCCTGCCTGTAGGCACACACGCAAACGCAAAAGTGGAGCCCGCTTTCCCTTCCTCCCTCCCTCCCTTCCGAGATTAGACATTAAGTGTTACAACTTACTTCAGACTTAATTTTTGATGCTCTAGTAAGAAAAATGAAAATGGGGGTAAAAGGATTTATTTCCTGATGTAATATTTGTAATTGGCAGCTCTGTATTCACAACATAACTTCATAACTTCATTGTTTGTTTTTCTTTACTAGGTTTACGTATTATTTTCACCCTCGATGAGGTGGCCTTCATACAGAATCTTGTTTTTTACATAGAAGCTGCATATAAAGTCGCTGTAAGTATCAACCTTGGTAGTTTTTGCAGTTGTCAAAAAAAATAAACATCATACACTTTTCTGAGAGCCAGGCTGTTTAGGGCTGACCAGAAGGTTAGCATGATTAGAGCTATAAGATTATGTCACCTCCACACACACAGTGCACATTTTTGTCTTAGGATGCAGTTGCAGAGTTCACGTTTTTGGAGTGCAGCACATGCTCTGTTTGAATCCATCATCCTTATTTTAAATAAGACCCTAAAATGTCCTGTGGCAGGTACACAAACTGGCTTGAATCAGGGTGAGGGCAGCAGCATCAGGGTCTTGGTGGGAGCTGCAGTGCCTTGGGGCTCACCCCAGGTGGCCCACAGGTAGAGGGGCCAGAGCCAGATGTGTGCCCCAGGCCAGGTGTGTACAGGTGCAAATGTACACAAAGCCCAGCTCCTCCGAACTTCTGTCTGGTGTCACTTCCAGAGAACAACTAAACTTTGTGAAGTGACTATAAGTGTGATAAGGAAAGGGTAGAGTTTGGTTTGGAAAAAAAAAAGTGCCGTCTAAAGCAAGGGTCAGCAAACTTTTTCTGTAAAGGGCCAGGGAGTAAATATTTTCAGCCATGTGTTCTCTACGGGCTCTGCCATTGTAGCACGAAAGCAGCCATAGACAACACATAAACACGTGAGCTTGGCTGTGTCTCAAATAGACTTTATTTACAAAACCAGGTGGAAAACTAGGTTTGGTCCAAGGGCCATAGTTTGCCACCCCTGGATCTAAAGTAGTGATTTTTCAACCAAGGGCAATCTTCCCCTCCGATTTGGCGATGTCTGGAGACGATTTGGTTGTCACACTGGGAAGGTGCTACTGATATCTGTAGCGGGTGGAGGCCAGGGACTCCACTGAACATCCTACAGTGCCCAGAACAGTCCCCACAACAGTGAAGGTCAATAGTGCCGAGGTTGACAAACCCTGGCCTAGAGAAACTTGAGAAGTCTTTGTGGAAAAGGTGGGACTTTAGTTGGACCTTGGATGAGTAGAGTTAGATAAGCAGAAAGGAGAGAAAAGGGTGTTTGGGGTGAGGGAACAGCATGAACAGTCACAGAGGCAGGAGCGGGCTGTGTGTGTATGTGTGAGGAGGGCCGCTTGGGAAAAGGGGGTCCAGAGTGAAGGAGTAGACTTAGGGTGAAAGTGGAGTATTGGAGAATGGAAAATAAAGCCAGTTTGTGGGTGTGCAGTAGGTGGAGGCCAGATAATGGAGGTATGACCATCCAGAGAGAGATTCAAATGAGATCCACTAGGTTGGATCAACAGTTGATCACTTTAGACTCTAAACAGGGGAGTGAGCTGATCAGAGTAGTTTTTGAGGGTGAGTCACTTAGCTCCGGGGTTAGAGTGAAGATGGTTGGGGCGTGGAAAGGCCCAGATGTGAAGAATACTCAAGGAAGGAATCCTGGGTTGCGGCTACAAGTCACTCTAGTGTGTCCAAGTCTAAATTTTCACATTTTGAAAATGTTCATCTTTGGAGACCAAATAATAAATACTGAAATTTTGCCGTTGGTCCTGTTCTTGTTGGGTTATACTCTTTCCATAGTGCACGTAGCATTATTTTAAAACAGTATCCACTGCTTGGGTTTCTTATGAGGAAATATGAATTATAGAAGCTAGGTATGTATGTATCAAGTCTCCCATGTGGACAGTGTTCTGAGCCAATTCATATTAATCAGTTTAAAATAACAGGAAAGTTTAGTGTTCTGTGCCTCAGTTTTGACTTTGGCTCCCGTTACTTGCTGAGCATTTTTTTCCCCCAAGAGGTAATGCTAGAAATAGTAATTACATGATTTGAAATGGTTTGGTTGGCTTCAACTGTTTATAACCCATTTGTTAAAGTTTCTTTATTTCATCTTACAATTTAATATAAGTTCAAAGGAATTAGCTAGAGAGGCAGCATTTTATTTGATTTGAAGATAAATGAACTATTTTGTTCTCTACAAATCAAGAGTTTCTTACAAATTAATATGTTTTAGGAATAAGAAAATTGAGAGCACTTTGCATGCATTTTTGGTTCCACCTGAGGATTTACTTCCAAAACTCTGCACAGAGGTCAAATGAAATGCAATCGGAGAGGAACACGGCCTGTGTGTGTAAAGCCATGAATTTGGATGTCTTTGAGAATAGTTATTTATGTTCCATTATGCCTGTCATAACATAAAGGAATCATTTTTCCATAGCACTTCTCATGTATATCTTTCTCCTGCTCTGATTACTACTTTCTTCTCCCGCAGGATTATGGAATGTGGGAACGTGGCGATAAGACTAATCAGGGCATTCCGGAATTGAATGCAAGCTCTGTAGGAATGGCCAAGGTGACGGCTCGTCCTCTTTGTTCTTCCTTCTGTGCATTTTTACTGCTTTGATTTGATTCTCATTAGAAGTTTGGATTTAATCTGATTTGTATATTTTTCAAAAGTCAACAGCAAGTATGAAATTCAAGTGGCACATGTACCCCAGCCAACTGAAATTATATGTAAAGAATGTAGGCCTCCTACACTGAAATCTGCATGTGCCTGAAAATAAGTGTGCTCTGTCCTCATCATCCATTGTTATCACCCACAGTTATAAGCTTTTGCTGTTGTCTAAGAAGCAAGTTCAAAAGTCTGTAGGGTCAGGCGAGTAACATTTAAACAAATGAAGTCGACAAGATAGAAAAATAAAGAAAAAATACTGAGGACACTGGGAACTTTCTCTGAATGTATTCCAATTCAAAGTATTTTAAAAACTTCTTCAGGCCAAACAAAACACACCTGTGTGGCAGATTCAGTCTGCCGGCCACCAGTTGACATCTTTTGCCCTAGACATTTAGCATGCTTCCTTTCTCCCACCTTCTCAAGACTGAAGTGTGCTTTTGGACAGAGTGAAGAATCCAGAGCTAGAATGTTTTGTTTTTGTTTTTGTTTTTGTTTTTTTATTTTCAGGTGGAGAGCTAGAATGTTTAAAGCAACAATAAATATGCTCTGTTGAGGTCAACTGACAGAAAACATACTTAATACTAAAAGAACTAATTTTCTTAAGTGCCAGATATGCTAATTTTAGGAGTTAACTGCTGAATTAGGTGAAAGAAAAGCTGGCAATGAATTTTTTGTGTTTTTAATTGGGGAACAGTGTGTTTTTCCAAGACCCATCAGCTCCAAGTCAAGCAGTTGTCTTCAATCTAGTTGTGGAGGGTGCAGCTCCTTGGCCCATGTGGGGATTGAACCGGCAACCTTGGTGTTATGAGCACTGCACTCTAACCACCTGAGCTAATCAGCCGCCCCCAAGTTAGCCATGAATTTAATAATACACACACACAAAGTTATGCACCTGTTAATATTTTATTTGTCGGTAGAATATTAATTTCATTTTGGGAAATGTTTTTCTGTTTTCTCTTACTTGTCCCTGCAATGAGCAGCAACATACAGGAAAGCTCTGATCTACTGAAAATAAGGATAGAATATGACCCTAGGACTCTTTAAATGGATTTTAACAATGTGTTTCATCACCTTTGGGCAAACATGTCCCCTAGATTGTTTAATGAAAAAGGAGTAGCAGATATGGGAGTGTATGTTCGCTAGAAAGAAAAAGTCATTAAGACCTGTGTTTGTAGGCAGCACTTGAGGCAATTGATGAACTGGATCTTTTTGGAGCCCATGGAGGACGCAAATCAGTGATCCATGTCCTGCCTGATGAGGTCGAACACTGCCAGGTAACAACTCAGCCTCTTGCATTCTAGAGAACAGGAAAGGAGACCCATGGAGGGAAGACCTGGGCTCCAGTTCAGGTTCCACACCTTTCTGGCTTGGCGGTGTGTGGCTTCTTTGAGCTTAGTTCCCTCACCCATACAGTGGCCATATTGGGACCTTTCCTCCTGTTGCACAAGGTGGTCCTAAGGATAAGAGTAAATCAACTTAGTTTGTCAGAGCACTTTGTAAGCCAGAAAGCACCATGTAAATATAAGACACAGCAGTATTGTATATATGGGGTCAACAATCAAGGCACCTTGCTTTGCTGAAGGCAAAATCTGTTTTATTTGTTTTGGGCACATAGGTGGTTTTCTCTAAGGTTTATTTCACGATGCCCCCCAAATTGAATGACTAGCAAGCATTAGTTCACTTAGGGAAGGGAGTGGGGATGGGTGGAATGGGCAGTGGCGGAGAGATGAGATGGGAGAAATGGCAAATTAGTAGAACTTCCATGAAATGTAGATCAGAGAAAGGAGTGATTTGATGCTGATGAGGGAACTCCATTAAGCAGACAGTAGGTCACCAATTAACTGGTTAATCAACAAATTCTTATTTAGTGAGGGCCTAGTGTGTGCTAAGGCTATGGGGGCCAGATACCTAAAAACTTACAAGGAGAGAGCTTCCGGTGAGAAGGCGTGTTTCCAGGCAAAGAGAGCCTAGGGAAGCATGACTAGTTAAAGAACTAGGATTGGGGGGAGGGGGCTGTTGGCTATAGAAAATGAAGCTTTATTCTGAAGCTGAAGGCTTCACCCCGTTTTTACCCCACTCTCCAGTTCACTCCATTTCCCCCCCTAAGTAGTCCTTAGTAGGGAATCTGCTATGTCTTGGCGTAGGGTTTAATAGAGTCAGCTGGTGTGCATCTAATAGATGTGTAGTCTAGTGGAAACTGTGTGATCTTGTGGCCAGCTGGGCCTGGGTGGGAGTCCTAGCTCTCTTGCAAACTAGCTGCATGCCTTTAGGTGTAAGTCTCTGTATTCAAAGTCTTAGAGCCCTGTGTGAATTGGATATGGTACCCGAATTCCTTCTTCGTACAGAAGATTTAATAAGCTTATGTTTGCAGGGGTCTCGCCTCATGTCTGTACATGTTAAATCTCAGGGTTAACTCCTTCCCTTCCCAACTGTTCCTTATAATCTCAACCTTTTTTAGTTTAGAGTGCCTAATCCGAGCACCTTATAATTGAGGCCATATTATAGTGCCTCTGAGTAACCCATTCTCTCTAGGACTGAAGTGATTCTGTTATTCACCATCTTGCCTGAGTGTTCTTGCAGTCTTCTGGATTTCGCTCTTTCTTTAAGCGGTTTCTGCTTCATCCGGTCCAACTGGTTGCATCCCACAGAAGCCAGACATTTCTCTGTATTGGCCCTGTCTGTGTGTTCTTTTCTGTCTCTATCTTCACAGCCAGTACACCCTAGCCTGCTGACACAGGTAGCCCCTAGTTCCTCCTCTGCATGTCCTGAAGGCCCAGCAAAGTCCACAGAAGGCACAGAAGGAAGGGAGAAGCAGTTCTCAGCGCGGGCTCCAGGCAGTACCGTGCTCTCCCCGACATCCTACTCTCCCCCAAGGAACAGGAATCATTGGCTGGGTAGGCGAGGTTGCCCATAGGGGCCACGATGATAGGATAAAACTCTAATCACAATTGGCAAACTCATTTGAATGTTCCCTTGGGCTAAAGTCATGGTCTCTAGATGCTGTACATAATTCCTAGTGCTTCCCAGGTTAAAGCCACCTCTGTTTTTCATTCAGTCTATTCTGTTCTCCATGCTGCCAAGAGCATCGACGTCCAAAGAGATTGACGCTGGACTTCTTTCTATTATTTCGTTCCCGGCCTTTGCAGTGGAAGATGTGAACCTTGTGAATGTGACCAAAAATGAAATTATTTCCAAGCTCCAGGTAAGCATTTGTCACACTGGTGCTGTCCTGCCCTGGGTCCAGTGCCACTGTCACATTATGACATGGAGCAGCTCACGCAGGCCTCAGTTTTCTATGAGGTCAGCAGCTTGGTTTATCTAAGTGGGCTCACAGAGTGAGGTACCCAAAGCTGAGTCTCCAGGTGAACAGAAGCAGTCTCAGAGTGATCAAGTGACTTGGTTCTGTTCCTAAGGAGCAGAGCTTGAACTCAAGCCATCATCTTTGAGCCCCAATTCACACCACTCCTGTATTTCTAAGGCAGAGCTTCTTATCCCTTTAGAGATCACAGACAGACTCCTTTGAAAATCTCTTGAAAGCTATGGAGTTCCTGCCAGGAAAAAAAGCGCACCTGTCTTACTATCCTCAAACTTTACACACAATTTCAGGGGACTTGGTGATCCCAAAGTTAAGTGGAGGTTAAAAAAAAATCCCTGCTCTGAATAACTATATGACTATGATACTTTACACCAAAGGGAGAATGTTATTAAATATTCTAGCCAACTGAAGTTACCGGTAAAATAGTCAAAGAATGTAAGTTTCCTATGCCAAAATCCACATGTTTATGATGCTACTTAGAATCCGTGAAAAATGCCTGTAGCCTTTGAAAACAGGGGTTAAAGCATCTCCAGTCATATCCCTGAAAAGAAGGTGGCTGCCTCAGTCAGGGCTCAGTGGAGAAAAAGGAAGCTCTTTAAATAGTCGAAGTAGGCAGAGAGTTAATGCAGGGAATAAAATGTTTAAAGGTCTAGGCTGGGCCTCCCGTGACTTCCAAAACAGGACAGGATTGGCCACCAGACGTGCTTGCCTCCATAGCCAGTGCTAGAGCAGCCCCCACACACTTAAGAAACTGGAGAATGGGCATCCAGAGCTGCGATCCAGGGATTAGGGAGGCAGCTTGAGAAAGCGCTGTCACGTCCTTCTTTCCTGACACCCAGGAAGCTGGAGAGGGACCCTGGAGCCTGCAGCAGGAAAAGCAGTAGTGACAGCCCTAAGTCACAGGGAGCCCCACCTGCCTGCCTGCCACGCCTTGCAGGATGCAGGCTTTTGGCATCCAGAGCCTAAGTGTGAGGAGTCTGGAATGTCCTTTTAACTTCCTAGTCTTTCAGGTAGAGGCAGTCCGATCCAAGCCTCTGCCTTGGTGGCTTCTCCATGCAGTGAGGGTCCCTTTGCATCTTTGCATGATATAGCAAATCAGGATGAAACGCTGGTCGTACACTGAGCCCGCAGTAATTACTCACACCTCTGAAACACTAATGTAATGTTTTAGCATTTCCTTCCAAGCACTGATCGAACCTGAATTTACTTCACTTATTATTAAAAATAACTTTTTGTTATTTTAGCAAAGAGCGCTTGGTACACATTTCATTACCAAAACATTCATGGGAAAGAGGGCAAAGGGTGGACTGGAATTAAAATCAAAAGGTAAGGAAATTCTTACGATTCAATCACACGTACTTATTTTTCTTTCTCTTCTAGGGGCGTTATGGATGTTGTCGCTTCCTTCGAGATGGCTATAAAACCCCAAGAGAGGTTGTATTTAAATATTGTTTCTTGTGGTTCCTTAACTGCTTCATGTCTAAGTTGCCACTGTGGTGTTCTCCCTCTATTTTTTTTTATAATTTTTTTTTATTGGGGAATCGGGGAAAAGGGAACAGACAAGTTGCTGTTGTTTTGTTCTTCAGTCTAGTGGAGGACGTTGCTTCACTGGCCCAAGCTGGCACCATCATTGCGCTCTTCCCGGGCGAGGCAGATCAGTCGCCAGCTTCTGGATGGCCGCTCACAGCAGCTGCTGGCCGCTCACGCTGGCTGCTGGATACACACGGTAGCCCATGGCAACCCACTGCCACAGAGGCTGTAGCCTACGCCGTCGCGGCGACTCACGGCAGCCCAGCTCCAGGTTGAGCTGTTGTTCACCATCTTAACTGTAGAGGGCAGCGTCATTGGCCCTCATAGGTGGGATCCGAACCGGGGCCCTCTGGCGTCCCAAGCCAGTTCTTAACCAACGCGCCACTCGGCCGCCACTCGGCCGGCCCTCCCTCTATTGATTATAATTACATGTTAGAATGTTGGAAAGGGAAGTCTTAATTTTGCAGTCAGCAAGCCTGGAGTTAGGCAGTAGAATAACAAGATCATCAGGAGGACAGCAAGCTGGTAGTTTAAAACCAGCCTGTAGACAAGGACAAACAGTTCTGTGGCTCACACGGTTTTTTAAATCCCATGGGTTTCTTTGCCACAGTGACTTGATATGATGATATTAATAAAACAGTCTGCAAAGCACTGTGAGAGGCAAATTGCTATTTATTTGTTAGCGATATAGGAAGCTTAATATAATAAACTACCAAGGGGTGTAAATTTCCAATTTACTTTTCTGAAATTTTACCATGGAAAACTCACAAAAATAGCATCTCCCCATTATAGCAGAGTCCTAATCATACCAACCTCAAAGCTGCCTTGAATCAGACAAGCGAGGGAAACCCAGGGAGGTACAATGGTATTATGTATGTATTCTGACATCACTTTTTTGAAGGTTTACCTGTTTCATTCCAGGACCCAAACCGGCTGCATTATGACCCTGCTGAGCTGAAGCTCTTTGAAAATATTGAATGTGAATGGCCCGTGTTCTGGACGTATTTTATAATAGATGGGGTCTTCAATGGTGATGCTGTTCAGGTGAGAGAATGCTGGGCGTTGCTTTGATAAAAGCAGAAGCTGCCAAGCTTTCTTAAGGCTTAGACCCAGAACTGCCAGGGTGTCACTTCTGTTGCGTTCTGTTTAAAGGGCCATCCTCCATTCAAGGGGAGGCAACCATACAAAGGCATGAGGCCTTGGAGGCGGGTTTCTGAGGGACCACCAAACTATCTACCACAGACAGGTTTTGTTGTTGCCCTTGTTCTTTTCACCTGCAGGTGGTTTTTCTGTCTTGACCGCTAGTTTAAGGGTACTCTCAGCTAATGTCTTGTTTACTGTAACAGCCTCCTAAGGAGTCTCCCAGCCTCCAGCCTCCCTTCCTGCTGATTTCCCACACCTTGCCACAGTGAGCTTATCAAAAGGCAAATTAAATTATGCTACTGCCTTGCTTAAGCGCTTTGAATGGCTTCCTGATCGCTTTGGGGATGAAATACAAGGTCTTCCCATGTTTTGTAGGGTCCCATGAGATCTGGCCCTTGTTTTCTCCACTGTAGCCCAATTTCTCCTTACTTCCTTTCTTGAGTTCTGTGATTCAAGCACACTGATACCTGTTTAGTCCCTTGAACAGGTCATGCTGTCTCTCCCTCTTCTCAAATGCCCAGGACATGCTTTCCACCCCCAACTTGCCCTCTCTCCTTTATTTGATTCATTGTAAGTACCTCTTCTTCCAGAAAGCCGTCTCTGACTCTGAAAGTTTTATACGCCCCACAGCTCTTAAAACAACGTGGTTCCCATAACTGCATTTAATCTCCCCCTTATCTGTCAAAGGACTCTGATAGAGGAGGGCCCTGTGCCTAGTACATAGTGTTTGTTAATGCAACATTCATTTGTTTAAAACAGATTTCTTCCGCATTTGCCAGCATGCACGCTTTGATGAGCAGAGCAGACCTATCTTCGTGAAGTTTCTGTGAATGACTAACAAACTCAACGCTTTGCCGTTTTTTTAACCTGTTCCAATCACATTTTCTGGAGTGGGATGAGCAATCTCAGATTTAGTTTAGTTTTTGAAAGCTGCCTCTGCTCAGAAATGGCAGCAAGCTTGAAATATAACTGTTCCCCCATTGTTGATTCTTATTCTTAGGCTTTAGTGATTATCTTGGGCCTTATGTTTTCTGTCTTTTTATCCCAGAACGGAAAGATCTCAAAAGGATTGAGTAGGAATTTCAATTGTGGACAGGCTTGACAATTATCAGAAACAAACAAACAAAAAGCTAAAGAGATATAAAAGACTGTGCTTAGTACCTTATTTTCTAGGTCTCACAAAATGCACTGCCCTTACGCCTGTGCTATGTCTTCCGCTTGCTGCCCGATGACATTTTTTAAAATGATGCACTCCTGCTCATGCTTTTGCTGTCCATAAATTTCAAAAGAAAAGAAAATGAGATCTGAAAGGGGTTTGACTAAGCTCTCCAAAGATGAAATGTGCTAAACAGCTAGGTGGCTGATGAAGGGTTTTTTCCCTTTCTTCTTTTCCCTTTGAATACATAGGTTTTTATCACTGCCTTTTTAATTTAATGGAAATGTTTACATCAACAGCTTTCATTATATTGAGTAGCACATCCTAAGACTAGGGGTACATGGATCATAGTACACATACTTCCTTTTCCTCATATCAGACTCATTCAGCAAATATTTCTTGAGCAATAAATGTTTGAATGAGGACCTTTTAAGTGGAAAACTACCGATAGGTGGAAGTGGGCCGCGCTGCTTAAGACCTGGCCTCCACGCCAAGAAGCTTATAGTCTAGCTGGTGAGACAAAATTTAAATACTATGTGAAAAGAAGGAACTATTTAAGTCATGAGTTAAAGACAACACAAAAAAGACCGGTTGTGTTTCACTCCTCCTAACATTAACTGTCAGCAGGAATCCCACTGCCTCCCGCCTCCCGGAGAATTTGTGCATTTCTTGGCCCTGTGTCTTACTTCTCATCTCTGTGCCAAGAGAGCTCTTTTGCTTTATGCCGCTGCCGTTATAGCATTAAGCATGCCGTTATAGCATGGCATCTTTGATACCATGGGACATGGGGCTATTTTCCAGGTCCAAGAATACCGAGAGGCCCTGGAGGGAATATTAATCAGGGGCAAGAATGGGATCCACCTGGTGCCAGAACTCTACGCCATCCCACCTAACAAGGTAACCAGGCGCTGCTTATCAGGAACAAAGCGAGATGGTGCTTGGTCTTTCGGTATTTGCATCCCCTGTCCAGACCTAACACTTTTTCTCCAGGAGAAGTGGTTTGTAAAGCCTCCGGTAAGTGTTCCTATCTGTCATAGGAGTTATGGCTTTGGAGCCATGCTTGACCAGGGGTGCCCAAGGGAGACGTCAGTTGAGCACCTTCACAGGATGGATACCTGTCCCTCACCTGAGCCCAAGGCCAGATGAGCCCTGAAAAGCACAAAACACTATTGGGCACCATGTTCTCACACATTTCCACAGAGGAAGAAGCAGAACCTCCCTGGGGAAGGGTGTGTAGAGATGGTGAGAATCTCTTCCTTTGAGTCAAGCCATTCCCGAGCTAGAGCCTGAGTAACCTCTTAGAAGCCATTCTATATCAAAGAGAGAGAAACTAACCAGTCCCAAGAAGATGCCCAAAGGTTGTTTTGTTCTACCAGTTTCCTAAACTGGGTGATGGTGGCCCTACATGTCTTGGTGGGAAGATTTCCCTATACATGTCTCATGTTTAGAAGAAAAGAATTCTCGAGTCAAGGCTGTTTGGCCTTCAGATGTTCCTGTTGCTTCAAAGCTTCATGATTGCATTTGCCAGAGAAAGAGAGCAGTGTCTTGTCCGCAGTTGACAGGGCCTGCAGGAGATCGTAACCCACAGAAGCTGTCATACGGCCCCTTGGGTTTAGGAGTTCTGTGGTTGAATCAGACCCACAAGCACATGATCAGAGGACTGGTGGGGCCTCTGAAATGGTGTGCCTCTACCCAGAGAGGCTGTGGAACCTGGCAGGACTCAGGCAGCACTGGGCTCCCTGCAACCTTCTGCTGCCTCCTAATGGGTGGTATTTTCAGGTAATGGCGAGTCCCTCACTCTATAGATCAGGCCATGGAGCCTACAGGAGCTCTTTTCTCTCTAAGTGTCAGAAGCCTGGATTTCCTGCAAATTTTACGACGTGTGATATGTATGTGTTGGTGGGGAGGGGCTGATGGTGGGGGCTAGGTAGTTATTTTCCAGTAACTCCATGTTCAGGTTGCCCCTTTTCCAGTCCTGCGGCATTTGGCAAAACAAAATTAGTAATGGGAGGTCATTTGGAACCTGGAAGCAGAGCAAGGGAAAACAAATGACTTCAGGTGGCTTCTGCCTATTTTATAGTTGAGAATGACCATCCCTCTGTGTTCTACTAAAAGGCACGTTTTCCTGACTGTGGTAAATGCTGGCTGATACTTTTCTTTCTGAAGAACAGTGCTGGCTACACATTATAAAAAGTTACTCTGCAGCTTTCTGTCTTTTTTTTTTAAGATTTTTTTTTAATTGGGGAATTGGGGGATGGGAACAGTGCTGGGGAATTGGGGGAAGGGGAACAGACAAGTTGCTGTTGTTTTGTTCTTCAGTCTA